CCTTAAGGCTGCCAACCTTTACTAGATCAACGGAAGGCCATAGTTATTTGCCGTGGGAATTCTTAGAGCAGCTTTCAAGCTCATTTGACAACGGAGTCTTAGATCGGATCATTTGACTTTGAGATTGCTTCAAAAACATTTGGCAATTGAAATCAGGATTATAAGTAATTTCATTCACATAGGGCTCTTGATCTTTCACATTAGATCAAGGTTAAGTCGAAACAGTTTTCTACTGGAATGCTTGCTAACGTCCATTCGGTTTCTTTTGATTCCAAAGACCTCAACAAATATCTTAACCTGTCTTGTTAAAGTCTAGGGGAAATCAGTGATCTAACATGACCGTGAAAGACCTTTACCTTGAACAACTGGCCACCGATGGTAGCTTTTAACGCTGATTCCAAGTTCAAATATCAAAGTGGTTTCGATGCCTTTCTGTCGGACCATTTACAGGTCAGGTGACGTCATTTAGCGCATCGAACCTAAGTAAAATTTTATTTAGAAAAGCTGTCTAGATCAAATTTTCATTTATTCTGGCTCAGAGGTGGGCGAAACATTGAACTCATATGCAGACATGCTGGTAAACATTGAATCTCCAACTTCTCTTAGCGACCGCCATGACTGAAATCTTGCTTCGCCACATGCGCGCAAATTAGCAACGCAGGCAGGTGGGGGGGGGGGGGGGGGACACACGAGGGGCGCCCACTCCCCCCCCCCCTCCCCCCGTCCAGGTCCCGATAGACCCGAATAGCCATTTGGGACCAACGATTAAGAGTTTGGCTTAGGGGCCTGCAGGGCAAGACAGCTGGGCGGAGATTGCGCTAATGGGCCCGACTCGCAGGGCCGAGGCCTCAAATACCGGTCAGAGGGCCTCTTACGCCAATTGGGCCCCTGACTAGATGAGGACCGCTATTTCAGTCAGGTGCTGAACCGTGACCTTCGTGGCGGTTTGGCCTAATGCTGCCTCGCCCAATACACAACAAATATAACGTCCTCAACATGTGTCACCGTCACCATATTGAGCATTTGAACTTTAAGGTGTATTGCAGTTGCTTTTGACCTTCCACGGGAAAGAGCCATGCACCGAGGACGGGAGCCTCGTTAAACGCCCGGCTTGGTGTGGAAATGCGTAATTCCCAAAACAGAATCAAGTCCTGACGCCACAGAATGTGTTTCACAGCTGCACCGACCACATTGCTGGCTTGTGAACAGATCAATTATGGACGCAGGTTATGACATGCTCCACGAAACACGACACGGAGAGGAGCCTATTTGTTTTAGTTGTGACTTATTTGCCATGCATGCGCGCGCAAAACATGTTGCTGCTAAGAACCCAGAAGTTAATTTTGTAGTTTGCGTAGTTCAGCCTAAATTTTTCATTTTCATACGTAAGCACACTTTTCCACTATTTGACAGCTAACGAAATCCCAAAACGGAGCAACGCAGATTACGCGTGCATATTTTGCCAACCTGTGAATCAGAATACGCGTGCATACTTGTGGAATACAGGCTCACAAAACACATGGATACGAAAGGAAACGCGCAGCTTCCGGTCTGTCAGCTACCTGCCAGCTCTCTGACCTTTCAGCTACCTTGCCATCAATCCCGGAAAAACTCGCCTCGGTTGCGGTGACATCAATGAACATGACTGTCCGAGCACCAGAAGTAAGGCAACGACACAGTTTGGGTTTAATCTGAATCTTGAATTGATGAAGGATTTGATCCTGCTTGTCCATGTTGCATATTCACAGCAATTGACATGCACAGTTCATCAGTGACATTACTTGCTATTAACGGCGATTTTGGAATTATGATACATGGCGCCGCATAATGTAGCTGGAATACACTTTGACTCTCTGTCTACGTGACTTGGGATGGATGGCAGGTTCGAAGGTCAATCAAAACGCATTCGTTATTTGTGCACCGTTCCGGAGTAGCAGTTGGTGTCAAGTTGCGGTCACAGTTCCCAACGGCCCGAACCGATCGCGCCCGGTCACCCGATACCAGCCGGTCACGCATGGCATGACACCGTGCGTGATCCCCCAATGTCCGAATCTGATTTGCGATGGATCAGTAAAGATCCACTGATTTCTCTGCCTTGGTCTGAACGGTGGTAAACTCGTCTACAATTGCTTTTTCAACCGCACTTCTGCTGCTTGTTTCGATAAAGCCATGTTGCCGAATCGTTAACGCATGCCTATCTCCACTCTCCTGGTTTTTCTACGAGGAATAAGGCTCTTACTACTGTCTTATCTTTGTGAATAATGTTCCTCGTGCATCCATTTAACAACTTACGTCTTCAATCGCATATCAGTCTGAAGAAAATAAATGGCATATCAGTCTGATATGGGATTTTCAATCGCATATCAGTCTGAAAAATAATGGGATTCACGTGTTTTAGAACATAAGGTCAAGGTAAGACTAGGTAACTATAATCCCTGGTTTAGCTTGAATGTTGTATTGACCCGTGTTTCACAAACATTTCAGAATTCAGCTTTCCGACAGACTGTTTCCAAATATTTTACTCAGCAGACTGCTGTCGGCAGCCAAAGCTGTGTTGACGTGAACGGTGACACTGAGTAATGAGTCCACACCGAAAGCAGGTTGGGCACACGTGCTTATTTCCCGGTAAAATGCCTCCAGCAGAACATTAAATTCGCTGACCGCCATGCGGCGGGCATTCATCACTCGCCCCTAGCTCGCTTGTGTTGCATTGCATGCTTAAAAGTAGTGTGGCTGGTTGAATTGTGATTGTTCATTATGTGCTTAGGATTGTTGATAATTTCGACTTTTATCAAGATTTTTGTCTGGCAGCACAAACTTTTCGAGAGACTCCAAAACTTTTTTGCCGCTAATTCACGTCTAATATCGCGGACGTATCGTTAGCCCCAGCGAATGGTTTTCCGACGGAGGAGCTCGTCAGCACTGGCAGCAAATTTCGAACACTAAGACTGCGACTTGTTTCTTGTTTTAAGAAAGGATTGCAGAGAGGCGTTGATATCACAAATGGAACAATTGTTATGGCTGCCGTTCTTCTCCAGTATGAATTGGTTCAATCTGACCCACCAGACGAGGGCAATCACTGAACAATCGTTTGAACCATTCAACAATCATTCAGAACAATCATTGCATCCGAAACACATTTGCTTACATCGAGTTCGAAATGGGCACCGCGTTCTTACGGTAGCTAATCTTGGAAAATATCCAGAACGTTGATTATTTCGGAATGGCAGTTAGCGCTGCGAACAAGGCGATTTATCGCAGATGAGCTTCCTGTGCTAGGGCAAACATAAAATGATTTTCAGAGCTTAGTCAAAAGGGGAATATGTTTTTCGCCATGCCTAGCTACGACCACTTTCTATGCATAACGCAGCCACAATGAAACTAGGGGATATTTTCAGTAACCCGCAGTAGTGCAATGCCTCAATTGGAGACCAGAGCAGATGCTCTTTGCATGGTTGGTATTTGTCGGGCAGAATTGCAACAACCACTGAACTGAACTGAACTGAACTGTAACTGCAGGCAGGAGTAGGTGTGACGATGTAGACCAAATGGCGTGCATTCGTTTTTTGTGGCCTGGCCGCTATTCTCGCCAGAGTGAGATGCTGCCCTGGAATGAGATTGATTATTTCAGGTGGTAACTGCTTTTCGTGCGGTTGGCAGGGTGAACTCTAGGGTAAGCAATGAAAATGGTATGTGAAGGTAAAAGCGTATGGATGATCTTCCCGCCCGTAACAGAACTCTCTCACGGACAACTCCTTGTTCCATTATTCTCCAATAAAAATTACCGTTGATGTTGTCGCTGCGGAATTACTAACAACCAGACCTCTTCTCACAAGATGCGGTGCCACCAGTGCTCCTGCGTGAGACGAAAGTTCGCGTTGGCGATCCATCGGTAAGAACACCCTGACACGAATGTTGAGTGCCGGTGCTCTCCCCCGTATTCGGTGCCGGCAGTGTCGGCGACACTCCTCGACCACGCCCAGTTGCGGTACCCGTCCCCCCCCCCCCTCCGGCCGCTTTCCGGTGCTTGCGACGTTGCCACGTCCGGTCGTTGCTCCCTGTCCCCCTTCCCCCTCCCCTCTTCTGCGCAGCGCAGCCATTTTCACGACGGAGTTATGCACTGAAAGTTAGTTTAACGCTGCTTATGGGTCACTGAAGTTTTGAAATATGTTGAACACTCTGATAAGAAAGCAATCGTTTTCGCACAATTTCATCGGCATTCAGTGGTTAAGCCACGTGTTTCCAACTAAGCACAAGCCGATTACGTAAGACTCTTTGTAGACGGTTTTTTGCAGTTTTTTCCCTTAGCTCACCCAAACTCTGGCAGAATACCAGGCCTGACAACCAGCCGTGTGGATCCGTCCAGGGTGTTAGGTATTGGGTGCACAAGTATTGTTGGGTATTGGGTGCACAAGTATTGTTGGCATCGGTGCTGTTCGAAAGCATGCCATCGCTAATTTCACGTGATCGAATTTTATATGGTTTTGTCCATAGATTTCACCGACAAAACATGTGTGTCATATCCTTGTAAGAACACTTTATTTCCGGTGCCAGCCCGGCGGATTACGGATGCTGTATTTCGTTCAGTACCATTGCAAAGCATTCACTTCTCGTCCTTACAAAAATTCGCAAAATCCTTACAGCACCCCTAAAGACAGCGTTCCTGGTGTTGCTGTTGTCAACAGCCTCAATGCGATATTTCAAACCAATGCCCAGATTGTTTCGTTCTCTTCTTTCCAAGCGGTACTGTCACCGTCTTTGCTCAAAGCCCGTCTATCTACCTGCCTTCCCGTTTTTGACACTTATTTCACAAAAAGGAGTATGACAGTCGGGCACGGTTCCAGCAGCAGGCACCGCGTGCGAGCGCGGGGCCATGTGACGCCAGCGCGGTGGACCTGCGCCCGCGGTGAAAGGTCCACACACTGCTGGGGTCAGGCACCTCTGGCAAGTATGTATAAATACTGGCCGGGGTTCTGATCAGTCACGCGGTGGGACTGACTCGAGAAGCCATGAGCAGGGTAAGTCCCGCGGCTTGTATGGAGCCATGCATCTAGTCGTTATAGACTGAGAGTGGGCAAAGCAACTCATGACTGAATGCAATTAGGAGGGGCGAAATGGACGAGTAGTTAAGGCCTCGGACTCGTACGTGCAGTCCCGGGTTCCAATCCCCTGAGCGCTTATATCGCCAGTGCAGTCGCTGACGTTTCATACAGAAGGCGTGATGGCGATGGTCACGTTCTCTTAAAAACTGCAACTGGGTTTTCTTTTTGAGGTCATTCATAAATTACGCAGCGCATTTTGTATCGTTCTTTCACCCACTTCGCTCGCCACCAACTGGTTACAACGGGCGCCTCCCTTCCTGGTTACGCCATGTTAAGCGCAATGCCCGCAACAGGTAACGCTCACTTGCCCCCTAATTGAGCTAGAGTCGCGAAGCAGAACCGGGCTTGCTATCTGTCATGAGAGATATTCAAAGATGTACAGTTTTAAGGTTTTAATTTTTCTCAAGATTTTAACGTGATTTGCAGCCACACATGAACATAGCCCTACACCACTCACCCAAATCCCTTGTCACGGTGTGATAAAACTTTACCAGAATAACTCGCCTTCTATGCGTAGCGCAATTTATCGATGGCTCCTTTGCCCATCAACCTTTGGGTATGTCGTGAGTGCCTGCTGCATTTTTTGAAAAGTTGCTCTCACCGAACGTTAAAAGATAAGGTTCATGACATGTGAGGTAACAGTTATGAATTGAGGGGGTATGCGGTGCGGGGATTTGCGTTTTTCAGGAGAATCCAGAGCTGTTAGATCTGGCCTTTTCTGTCTGATCTGTTGTATAGCAACGCTGTGCCCTCGCCGAGTCTGGGGGGAGCCGGCACGTTTTTGTTCCTAAACGAAGTTTTTGGGGAGGTTTCTTCACTCGTTAGATGGGTCGATAAATCTTCGCGACAAAGGTGTTTCCCACCACGCTGGTGAAAAACGATGTACTATAGGTTTCCGAAACAGAAATGAGGCGTTGTAGTGTGTTACTATACGTAAATAGTGTGCTACTATTCCTCCGCGGAGCACTCCGGTGCTCTCGGTCTATGCAACCCAGAAACCGTTACACAGAACCACATCACACACCTGTGTCTTGCCCTCAGTGAATCGCTGTCGCTCTTGTGGTCCGCGTTTCCGGACCGATGTCTAACAGAAGCTGACAACTGACCTTCTAGTAAAGCGCTCCCGTTTTCCTGGCTTGCGTGACTGAACAGCTGTCCGACAAGGCTCACGGGTCTCTTTTCTTTGGCTAGCGGATAGTTCTCGCCGTTTTCGGCTGCGCTGTTGAACAGCTGTGTGACCATAGTCCACAACTCCTTCCTCTGCCTCCAGTGGATCGCCCTCGCCCTTTTGGCCTGTGTGGCCGTGACTTCTGCGGCGGAGAAGGCCGAGGACAAGGCTGAGGACCTCAAGTCTGCGGCCTCTCACGGTCACCGGTACGTCTTTCTCCCACCTCCAGGCTGATGAGAGGACGCTTCAGAAACACGCTGCTCGTGAATGTCGAGTCTCAAGTCAGCAGAAAATGTTCACATGAGTGATTCGCTATATACTAAAACGGTTGTAAGCGGTAGGGGGATATTTTGTCAAGTGGAAACAACTTTTATGAACGCTTAATGAGCGTCTCTTTGGAAGCACTCCCGCAATGCAAACGCTGAGCCTAAACATCCGTTGTGTATTAGATCAGAAAGAGCATCGTGTCAACAGTCTGACTCGTGGCGCTTTCATGGAATTGACAGAAATAGCAAATGATGCAACAAGTTGTCATAGTTATTCCGTAAGAGGCGTTCTGGTGCACGAACAATTGTGTGCGCACAGCATCACCGTGTAATATAAATAGTTTCACCGCAGTGTATCTTGCAATATTGCTTGCTCAACTAGAAGTAGGCCTTCAAAATCTAGGCAAAAATAATGAACAAAAAATAATTTCACCAACGCAGACTGCCTAAGAAGGAAGCGATGCACATTCACAAATTTGGCCAATGCTCAAGATATTCCACGACATTTTTAAAAATTACAATCGTGGACAACGAACGCATGCACACACACATGCGCGCGCGCGCTTTTTAACAGCTCATGTCGGGGATGATTGCAGCTCTTACGGAGGCTATGGCGGCTACGGAGGCGGCTATGGCGGTTACGGCGGCTACCATGGTGGATATGGAGGCTATAGCCGCGGCGGGTATGGTGGATACGGCCGCCGCGGACACGGTGGATATGGGATTTACGGCGGATACGGCGCATATGGAGGATATGGAGGATACGGCGGCTATGGCGGGTAAGCATTGGTTGGGAAGCACGAATCTCTTCCACCGACTTAATATATTCGTTTTTCAAGTGCTGAAAGTCGTAATTGCTATGAAGGCACAAGTGGACGCGTTTGTTCCGATTGTTCCTATCACACAACGACATGTGACGGAAAGGCCAATCTTCCTATCTTAAATGCAGAAAATAGCCCGCACCCGCACAACAATATTCCCACTTCGCCCCTTCTACGCCAGCTGAGTATTATTTCAGCTACAGTGGATACGACAGCTACGGAGGCAGCGGCTATGGCCACAACGTCTATGGCTTCAAAGGCGGCTACGGTCACCCCGGCTACGGACACGTGTACGGCCGCAGCTACGGACGCTCGGTGCCGGTCTATGGCTACGGAGGCTATGGCTACGGCGGCGGGTGAGTAGTGCAACCAGTATGATCTTCATAATCCCAATTGCGGCCCTCAGGCCATTTTGCCCCAAAAAGATGGAGAGCCTTCTCGTTGCGTGTTGTTCATTGCAACTATTTGGCCATTGGCGTCGAATGCTGCAGGAGCCGAGAAAAAGATTCGGGCATGGGTAACACCGTGAATAGAAAGCACTGCCCGTGTTTGCCGCACGTCTAACGATCTTGCGGAGTAAATGGCTCACTCCTGTCAGCAGGATTTACTCCATAGACTAGCGAAGTTTTTCCGAATATCCTCCGATCGCCATTTATGTGCGTCAAACAGCGATGTGATGGAGGATTGCAAACCATTCTACCTTTTGACAAGATCCTCTATTCGTCTCGTCGAATTCATCGAAAATTCAGCCCAAGCATTTGCTTCGATGGAGTTCTGTGATGGGTGCCCACACTAAGCAGTGTTTGTCCATGAGCCCTGACCCGACCTTGCGATCGTGAAAGTCAACGTCAACGGCTATATTTTGCGGCAAAAGCTTGACGCACCACAATGCTCGCCACATTTCGTCCTACTCTCCGACGACGCCTGGTCAATATTGCGGCCCGCTGCCGCGGATCGTGAGTCATTTCAGTCAGGGTAAAATCATGATCACCACCAACACTGCCTTTGGCTGGCATAGACTGCGGCCGGTGGCAGCGGCAGTGACGTCACAGGGCAGGGCTGACCGTGCCGAGCATTGCAGCACGTTTAACGTTTGCTACGAAATTCTGCCGTTGACCTGGGATTGCACGATCTGATGATAGGGGTCAGGACTCACACAATAAGCAGTGCTTAGCTTGAGCTCTGATTTCAGAAACCGATCTTTCCACAACGTTTGGATAAAATCATAAAAATCCTTGAAACAATCAATCGCAAATGATCCCAACCCACCCAGTTCCCTGAGAAAGTGATCGAACCTAGCGCATCCATTTACCATTTCTATGTCTGTTTCAGCTACGGCCATTAAGCAGCTCACAGCAGCTTTTGGGATAGCCGGGGTCGCCGCGCATGCGCGCCAAACACCATGAAGAACGGGCTGTTGAACAGCGCAGACAACTCAGCTTTCGCCGTTCGACGACAGGTTGCAGCAGCATTATGGTGTCCTGTGCTTGACCCCCCAGTGATCGAAGATCCCAGTGTCAGTTGGGCTTCTGCTGCTCTTGAAACACTGAAAAAGTTTCGATGCCTGAACTGTTCACCAAACGACCCCTTGACTACTTTCAAAAGCTCTGAAGACTTGGGTGTCCCTAGTAGCTCTGAAGTGTTGCATTTGGCTCAAGTCAAATAATGAGCCATTTGCGTTGCTCTGTTCAATTGGGCGGCACTCTCAGATATCTTAAGCAGCTGTGCAGGCCCCTCAGGCTAGTGGACGGTACGTAAATAGTTTCGTCTCAGGTTGTCGGACAGGTCACGTGGGTGGTATGACGTCGCATTTGCACTGAAGACAATACCATTGTGCTTATCACGCATCGATGATGGCATGGCTTCCCACCACGCCTGCTCCGTGTTCCTTGTGTCTTTCGGGACGGCCGGTGATCGGTTGTTCTTGCATGAGTGAGCTGTATGAGGTTGACTGAATAAACGGCGCGCACCTATTCCTGTCAGTCAAAGCATGGCTACAAGTAAACAGCCGAGTGGTCAGCACATTGGATTCATACAGAAAACTGTATGAAAACTCCGTCGTCGGCATCACACTACGCCCTGAGGGGCTGGCGTCCAGCCAGGGAATCCCTCCGAAGCATGTACTTTTAACTGGCCAGTTTTGACGGTTGGCGGAAATTGTGCCGTCTCGAGCAGACTTTTTCCCTTGAAAGCATACCAATATCTATAACTTTTTTAAGTTATGAGTTATTTTCCTATAATTTTTTATAAGTTTCTTATATAAGTTTTTATATCACTTTTTAAAGTTTTTATAAGCTCTAAGCTCATTTTATCAACTCTGGTTGTTCGTGCGAAAAAGTTCGTTAGTATTCCGGAGGACCATCGACTTGAGATGTTGAAAGGAAACAGTCTCTATTAGCCAAAGACTTGCAAGTCAAAGGTGAGAGAGGGGATGGAAGGGCGGCGTCGCACACTCCGAAGCCGTCGTCGTCGTCGTCGTAAACGCTGCCGCGGCTCGCGTCGGGCCGCGCCGTCGAAGCCTGAACGTGGACTGGGCTCGGCAGGGACTGTGCGTCCCCGCCCGCGTGTCCCCATAAACCCACGTGGGTTTATGGGCCCCAGATGTTGGGAACCAATCGGCAGAGGGGCCGCTCACACCCTCGCGGAGCCGCCGCCGCCGCGCCGGCAGCGACAGCCCGTTTGCTCGCTAACACTGGTGCTTGCTTCAATGTCTTGAAATGTGGTGCTTCCCTCATACAAATTCTCAGTAAGCTTCATGGACGTGATCCGGCGCTGAATTGATTCCAGGGTAAGATTGCGGGCGAATGGCACATATATAAAGGCTAGAAAGACCTGTCTAAAAAATCGTTCGGTACGAGGGCTTCACCCATCCGTAGTCAGCACAAGTGGCTGCAGCTCCAATTCTAGGTTTCTGTGGAAATAAATCAGCCTATGTCACAAGATAATATTTATATCAAGACGAAGGGTCGAGTTTCCTGCGTCTACATCTTTAGATTCCACCAATCCACTGGTGAGAGACAGTGATTAGCCTAACTGGGTCAGGCCTTCACCGGGTAGGGCATCCAATGGCGGTTTTCCGCGACTCTAGCATGGACCATAGCTACAGTGATGCGCTTGATACCCCCCGCGCTCTGGTCGGGTCGACAGAATTGGTGGTCTCGCTCAACGTCGCCGCTTTGTTGGCAAGGGAGTCAGCGGATTCCCGCCCATGACTGAAACTGGCATCACCCAGTCCCCATCGCGGAATCAGGCTGCCGCTCTGCCGTACAATACTTGTCCCAGCCTCTGTTTTTTGCGTTGTTTTTTTAGCAGAATGGATAAGAAGCTGGCCGAAGGGCACGTCTGAAGCAGCTGCTGACCTGATTTTGGGTCCGCGATCAGGCGGGTCTCATAGATACGCTTGAGAGCTGGCGCCGACAGGTTGTGCACAACCTCAAGCGCGTCCAAATCACGATCAGCTTGGTACGCGACCCCCTAATGTTTTTAGAGAATTTTTAGAGGAGGAGGATAGGTTTTAGGCCGCGAGTCCTGTGCCCGACACGCGGCCTTTCCTGTACCCGACGGCCACTCCTGTTGGGCACGCGGCCCCTCCTGTGCCGGACACGCGGCCTTTCCTGTACCCGACGGCCACTCCTGTCGGACACGCCGCCCCTCCTGCGCCGGACACGCGGCCTTCCTTGTACCCGACGGCCGCTCCTGCCGGACACGCGGCCCCTCCTGCGCCGGGCAGCCGGCCCCTCTTGTGCCGAACATTTGACAGCCCCAGTGACTGGAATAGCGACGCTCCAGTGAGGGACTCTCCGCCGCTGCAATGCGTTAGTGGCGCTGCACGTTCTGTTAAGACGCAGAACATTACAATGGCATGATGTCGATTAATGCAAAAGTATTTTACTCCTTGCTCTGTCTTTTAAGAGTTCGTGATGATCATACGGTCCCAAGGATCATGCGGTCCCAGGCCCACAACTTGAGCTTGTGATCCACTCAACTTGGATTCGCCTGTAACAGAATAATGGACAAATGTTACTAGCTCTTAGAATATGTACCCTGCCCGAATGCTACCTTAAAAAAGCCGCGATCTTCTTCCACGAGCGGCTCTCAAATCGGAACTTTTGCGAAACACTGAGCAAGGTTCTCATGAGACGACACAGGCTCAGTGCCAAAAATCCGAAATAATCAACTATTCACGCTAAGCACGGCTCGCTTCGCGGATATTGACCCACCATTCACGTAACCCAGGCCATGAAGCAGGTTATCCAGTGTTGGATTCCCATTACTATCTCTGGATTGGGGAATAAATATTTCCAAAGCGCGGATTCTTAAGGGTTAGAAATCTGAACTTTTGGAACCATGGAAAACTACGAAACTTCGTTTTGGACACTGCGGTGATTGGACACTGCAGTTAAGTGCCACAGCCCATAGCCTCAGCAAACCTCACGACAGGTGTGGCCGCTGCACTTTCATAATGATAATGACATCCGATGATAGTGGATCACCTTCACTTCATCCTTCTGTTAAATGATCCGTAACGCCAGTATTTCACGGGGAGAAGAAATGATCTTGGGGTGTTTGCAGATTGGCTTAAGAGATTCGCGGAAAGGTGGAAATGTTCAGCTTCTGTCGGGTGGTAAGCTGTGAAGATGATTTCTAGGCAATAAAGCGTTGTTCTTTCCTTTCGGAGAGTTCTCTCGGTCATTTGACTGCTTCATCGAGGATCTCGACACCCTGAATTGAGTGCTGGTAAGAGGAAAAACAAAACTACAATTGTAGTTACCAGGAGACAAAAGTAAGCAAACGTTTTGATGATAGTGTGAGGATTAGATTTAAATGTTATCACAGAGGATCGTGTGACATCATGTCACATCTTGTGACAATAAGCCGTATCAAATCCCGTCACCTTCGCTCAGTTCGACAGGTGCTATCATTGAACATTGATTGTTTGTGAAGAAGTGCTACGTGTTGTTATTCAATGTGATCAGTAACTCGGAGTGCATCAAACTAAAACTTGTAGCATGTTGAAGTTCAAAAGTGTGATGTCATGCTTATGCTTGCGCGTTTCCCATCTTGGCTTCTGCCAGTCTAGACTGGCGTAAGCTTCTTCGGTCCATACTCTTCCACACTCTGGAGATATTTCGGGGTTCTAGGCTTTGCCCAAAGGCGGTGTCAAACCAAAGCTTTGCCTATAGATTTGAAGCTTCACATTTGCGGTGTAAACTGAACATTCCTGCAAGGTCATTATGGTCGTTGTGTACCTGGGAGATTTTAAGAAAGCGACACGCCACTTCGCATGGTGCATCGCCTTCGGCACTTCTTCCGGCATGAGGTTGCTCAAATGGCAGTACATGTGCGTATCAAGGCTTTATTTTATACGAGCCACAGCATACCCTGCAAGTTCACTAAACCAGCCAATGCGCGGACACAGATAGCCAGCAGAAGGGCGCCACTGCCAGAGCAGCTGACCCTTCTACATTGGTTTAGCACACAATACTGTCTGTCGTCGTTGTCATTGGGGCTTTACGACGCACTCAGCTGCTAAGGCTAAACGGCGTCGCCGTCGCTCACACTGGCAGGGGGGCAGGCACCGCGGGGAATCGAACCCCGTGCCTCCGGTTGGTCAGACACGCAGTTTAACCGCTACACTATCGGTACCCCTAATACTGTCTGTCACACCATATAGGGCCATCATTGGTCACACTGCCAATCGCGTGATATTGGCGGAGGGATAGATCCCAAACGGCTATTTACAAAACACGGCCTCAACAGCGGTTGTCCCTCTCGGCGCGGTACCCACTCAGACGTCACACGTGCCGCAAAATAAACTCAATCACTCAAATAACTTAGTTGTCATGCCGCCCTCCGTCGTTCCTTGATCAGCGTGAGGCTCCTCATTCCGCGACGGCTGCTCAGGCAGTGGTCCAATGGGTCTGGTGTCTCACCATTGGTGTCAGTAGGCCACTCGCGACCGTCAGCTCGCTCCCCTTGGTGGTCTGGTAGCGGTACAGCGGCGTGCTTAGTGGCCGTAGCCGTAGCCTTGATAGCCACCATGATAGCCGCTAAAAGACGGAACGATGGGTTAACCACTGGCCAATATTTGACGAAAGTTGGAGAAATATTACACTGTGACGTGGTGTTTGAAGGAGATCTATCCTTTTACCAAATATAAAGCGCTGAAGGCGAGTGCGCATCACGAGCATGTTAACACATCGATATTAGTAAATACGGATGAAAATTACTTTAAATTGTTGTCACTCGGCAGACCTTTACCATCTATTGCCAGCAAAACGGTTAACGTACGGCATTGTTTCCCGAAGAGCTCGAACACTACAAAAACTGGCACTGTCCGTTCACTTACCCGCTGCCATAGCCGTAACCGATGTTTCCATGGCCATAGCCTCCATAGCCGTAGCCATTGCCGTAGCCATTGCCGTAGCCATTGCCGTAGCCATTGCCGTAGCCATTGCCGTAGCCATTGCCGTAGCCGTTTCCGTGGCCGTAGCCGTTGCCATATCCGTTTCCGTAGCCGTAGCTTTTGCTGTAGCCGTAGCCGTTGCCGTTGCCGTAGCTCTTGCCGTAGCCCTGGTAAGCTACGTATCCGTGGTAACCTCCGCGGCTGTGGCCATGGCCTCCGTAGCCCCCGTAACCTACAGACCCGTGGTAACCTCCGTAGCCACGACCGTTGCCTCCGTAGCCACGACCGATGCCTCCGTAACCTCCGTAGCCGTAGCCGCGACCGTATCCTCCAGAACCGTAGCTATTTCCGTACCTACAGGACCAAAAGCAAGTTAAAACTGTTGACCTTGAGCTAATGGTTAAAATCTGTATTGGAGCGTTTATCTTGTTTACCTGAGAATGTTTCATTTGTTTGTGACTCGTTATAACCGGTCACTGCCGTCTGCCATTGTACGCTTTGAAGTCATGCTTGTGTCCCATTGAATTTTCCTGTATTTGCTCTTGAGAACCCTCTTTTCGCCCTGTTGAGAACCACTCTGTAGCGGCATCTAGCTTTACATGTGGCCCAATATCAGCCGTGGCCGAAACTTCGACCAATTAGTGGCGGCTTGTAAGACTGCGTGCCGGAAAACGTCCGACGGCGGTTCGTACTTCCCCGTCTTTTGGACGAAGTCCCACAAGTCTGCCACTGATTGGGGCACGGCTGATGTGAAGCTACATGCGTGGCAGGATATGGCTACAGAGGCCCGACAGAAACACTGGGCAGAAACAAAGACCAGGCATAGCTGGGTATGGATACAAAGGCCCTACAGAGGGACTGGTTTGAAGGCCCTACAGAAAAAACGGCTTGAAACAAACAAAAAAGAAGCCAATGGTACACATCCGCGGTTTCAAAGCGGAATGTTGTGCACGACAGTGGGCGGTCACAACGAGCTACAAACAAGTGAAACATTGCCAGATGAAATTAACATGCATTAATGTAGCGGCGCAAAACCTGACAACAGAAATATTCACCCAAATCGGAACGGAAAGTACGTGTGTTATTACGAATAACGGACGTGGACGTTTGATGAAGTGGCGACCGAAAAGCGAAGCAGTGTCTGCAATGTCGCCATTGAACCGACTTGATATGGTCTTACCCTCCGTATCCAAGGCCGTGTCCTCCATATCCTCCATATCCAGCGCCATATCCGCCATATCCGCCTACGCCACCATTGTACCTGTCATATCGCAAAAGCACGTAGCGTATTATCACACCAGAGAAAGCATCGTGATGTGGATGAGATCGTGAAAGTGGAATGATATAATGAGAGTGGAATGAGATCATGAGAGTGGAATGAAATCATGCGAGTGGAATGAGATCATGCGAGTGGAGTCAATGGGCATGGCCTGTTAGGTAAAACGCGAGCCTGTTGTAAGAATAATCTCGGATTCCGTAATATTACAGGGCTTATATGAGAGCATGTCCATCAAGGAGAGCTATTGAGCTGTCTGTGCTTAGCAACGACGGAGGACTCTGAAAGCCAAGTCCAATGGGAACAGTGCGAGGAACATCGTGGGAACAGGGGAACACCACGCTTCCAAATCTGGCACCCAGCTAGAACTAGTCAGTCGTCATCTATGACGTCACCAACCACCAAGAAAAGTAATCGGCAAATACAGCTTACAAGTCGATTTAAGCCTAGTTACATCGGCATCATGCCGTTAACTGTGGCCAAACAGGGGACGTACCCGTGACCATACGAGGCCGCAGGCTTGAGATCCTCAGCCTTGTCCTCGGCCTTCTCCTCCGCGGAAGTCACGGCCACACAGGCCAGGAGTACGAGGGCGATCCACTGGAGGCAGAGGAAGGAGTTGTGGACCCTGGTCACACAGCTGTTCAACAGCGCAGGCCAGAAGGGCGGGAGCTACTTTGGTGGAAGTAGAACAGTTGTGAGCTTCTGTTGGAGAGAAGCCAAATTACACAAGCCAAGAGAGAAAGAGAGGGAGAGAGAAGAGAGAGAGGGAGAGAGAGGGACAGAGAGAGAGAGAGAAAAAAAAAGAGAAAAAGAGAGAGGGAGAGAGTGAGAGAGAGGGAGGGGCCTGATTCACAACGGGGAGAACATAGCGGTCAGCATCTGTGACAGTCGTTGTACAGCCTTGATGCAAGGCTCAGAACAATGCACTGGTTAGAGGGCAGAGATATGAGCTTTCTGGTGTGCGGTAGGTTAACCGCACAGGGTGCAGTCGGTGAGGCGAGAAAGGTCTTCAGGGAGAAGGACAGAGCTGTGAACATTTGAGCCATAGCAATTAATCCCAAGCTAACATTGCGATGATTTACCACAGATAGATCAATAACATATCACGACACCCGAAATTGTTCGTGAGAATAGGGCACGAACCAAGGCAGTAGAAACCTCGTGTAGCCTAACTTGTTAAGTGCACTTGCGAGTGACATTATGCATATTAGTGATAGCCTTATTCCTTGTAGAATAACAGGGATAATAGTAAAATACATTCTAAAGAGCGCAGAGTAGGAAGACTCTAGAGAGAGAGAGAGAGAGCAGTGAATTTTAAATTTAGCACTGATAGTCGTTTCGAAAAAGGCGTATATCCAAAATATCAACACATCTAACTGTTCCACTCTACTGGGATTCTTCAACTAATGAGGCTATTAATAAGGAACTATGTTTCCTAGTGTAACCTCTTGTATATGGCAAACATTTCACTGCATGCAACTGAGTTTTCCCTTAAGGCACCCTGCCGCTGTGTGGAGAACGTGCGTGTATTCAACTGCGGGAGGTAGGGGTGGCACAAAGAGCTAGGGTTACCTTGTTCATGGCTGTTGGAGTCAGACACGCTGAATGACTGACTAAGGCTCCGGCTGGTATTTATACCAGCTGTATGGGGTGACTGACCCTGGCAGTGCGCCCGCCTTTCACTGGCAGGTCATTGCGTCGGCGCGCATGGGCACACCAGGCTAATGTGCGGTAATTTATGGGGAATGCTTTGAGCATATTTCAGGGACTTATTCGGGCACAGGTTTTTTGTTTGTCGAAAATCGCACGGTAGAATATTTGTAATTCGAGGTGTAAGATAAGCGTCCACCAATCAGGGATATTTCTCCTCATAAGTTAGCAGTCAGGTGGCCATATATGTCATTCCAGCGCCCTTTTATACGGCTGAGATATGTCGGCATGTTGCTGTGTCCTGCCATGGCCCACCTGTGGCTGAGATATGTCGGCATGTTGTGTCCTGCCATGGCCCACCTGTGGCTGAGATATGTCGCCATGTTGTGTCCTGCCATGGCCCACCTGTAGCGAAAAGCTGATGCCCAAGATTGCAGACCGCTGACGGTTGGGGAGCCGTTTTTCCTGACAATCTGTTGTGGTACGTTCTCCAGGATATGTTGTAAAGGCGCACAAGCGAAGGTGTGTGATTGCATACTGATCTTAAGCCACCTAACATTCCCATGTGAGCACTTGGTCCCCTGCGCCGTGTTCTACTGGTATCCTACACATCTGGGTAACTACGACTGGCTGCACTGTTCAAGTGATTTTGAACGCTCACGTACATTTGAAATGCTTGCGTTGACATAATTTTACACAAGTTATCCTCCCCAGGACCCACACATCTGCAGGCCTGATATTCAGTGGAGTGGCCCGGATTTCACTCTTAGCTTTTTTCTTTCGTGGGGGCCGAATCGGTTTACAGTGACCCTTTCAGCGACGATAGGCCCTCTTCACCGTCATAGGTCACCCAATGTGTGAATTCGGAGGAACATTTAGGGCTCAGGATTAATTTTTGCACGCCTTGGGGCCCTGTCATGTTTAAAAAGCGCCACGGTTGTCTTGACCTTATGCCGTTGGACGCGGGGGAGAGGCAGATTCCATCCACCATTCAATTGTTTTTTTGCGCGCGCGTGGCTCTCGGCAATGGCTTGGAGCAGGTTGGTAAAAGATAAGTATTTTTTAAATATCTTATTTACGGTTTATGCCAAAATCTTGATTGCAATTGTATGCACAAGAGCGTGTCTCCAGAATCCGGTGATGGGAGAGATCTCAAGTAACATTTTGCGTTCATGCCGAGATAGTGATCACCCCAGGGTAAGGCGCCCTACTTACATTGTATGTATGTACGTATATATATATATATATATATATATATATATATATATATATATATGTATAGATTGCAATAGTTTTGCCTGGATAGTTGTTACCCTTTTTCAGGAACACATTACCCTTTGGGCGTTGTCCCATCCACACTGATCAGCCATCGACTTAGGTGTTACGGTATATCTGAGGCTTCGGTCCTTCGTACTCAATCCCATCCCATCAAACCTCGCCTTGTGAGAGTTTATTCGCCTTCACCGTTGCGGAGAGCGTGCGTGTGCCGAAATCTTGACTGCGAAGGAAGCTAGGACCACTGAGAAACAGCGTTTGAAAGCTTTTGTTTACCTTTATCGGATAGATGCGATTAGACAATGATGAGTGCGACGTTTCACAGTTCATGTCAATGCATATGGGTCAGATTAGCACACCTTGAACCCTTCCTGTCATCCCAAGAATTTTGCGTTTATAGACAACGCGGAAGTCGACGTTTCATAGCTGTTGACAAACTGTCTTGGTGGACACCAGTTTACAATGACCCATGTGACCTAACATATGTCATGTGAGGTCAAATGGATGAAACCTGTTGTTGCATCCCTCTCCACGACTAGTCCAGAACTAAACGAGCCATATCAAAGGCGAAATAAGAAACATGCCTTTCAGAGCTGCAAAATTTGTACAGTTGAGGTTGAAACACCATGACCTCCAAAGCACCAAATCTGTTCACAAACGTCAAAGCTCGGCCCAGCTTGACTTTGAATGGCCCAAAGTCAGATGGTTGCTTTGCAAAAGCCATCAGAGCGACGGTAGTGTATAGCGATACAAACAACGCAACGAATTCAGTTATACTATAATAATAATAGAATGCTCACAATCCTCACTTTCCGTGAGAATAAAACGCTTGGAGTCAATTTTTAACAAAATGTCACTTAAGGTCAGTAACCTATAAATCCCACATGTATAAATATGCGTGTAAACTCAACTGTTTCAAATTTCGTTATCGTGCTCAAAACCGTTCGAAAGTCGTTCGAGAAATGCTGTAGAAAGGTTTTTGGGCTCTTCGCATGCCTGGGATTGATGACATTGGTGTTTAATTTTTGTAAGTTGTTAGGTACATTTACGAGGAACATTATCCACATAGATAAGACAAAAGCCATAACTTTATCGCCCGCAAAAAAAAACCAGGAAAATAGAGACACAGATGTGTTGATATTTCGGCAGCATGGCTTTATCGAAACGAATAGCAGAAGTGAATTAGAAATTGCCTGCAGATGGCCTCACTCGATTTTTCAGTTTTTTTAACAGCGCGTGACAAGTTTTACACAGCGTAAAAACCAGAAGTGACCCACAGTGTGAAAATTGTGGCTCGCTCCATAAAAAAATTAAATAGGATCATCGACAGGCAATTTTGAATACGCATCTGCTATTCGCTTCGATAAGGGCATGTTGCCGAAGTATCGACGCATTTATATCTCCACTCTCCTGGCTTTCTCCGAGGAATAAGGCTATGACTACTGTCTTATCTAGGCGTTTAATTTGTGCATTAACAGTGGCGTTGGGTGACAAGAAGTCGATCCATGGCATATCCGCCAAGACTTTGACCTTGGCAGATTTTGCTCTCTGTGTCCCAATATGCGGTGATGACATTGTTGCAGATGAAAATTATGTTTCCCGACTTCAAATGTCGTTTGGAAGACTCATCCGTTGTCACATGGATCGTAAATGACCATTACATTGTTATTGACGCCTATCATTTGTTATCATCCATGGGCTAACCGAAATAGTGCGCTAGTCGGGTATCAGGGTCGATATTTGACCTAATATGACCTTGACCTTAAGTAACCTCTGCGTATACCAGGAAGATGTCTTCCCTCTACGTTATGGCTACGTTAACCTTCGCTCAATTCACACCGCAAATGGAAAGAGAGTCAGTGTGACTCTGTTCCTCTACAACTTCCAAACTGAGAATGAAAGGGCCTTGGCGAAAAGAAAAGAGTATTTTCGGCTCAGTGAGGTCTCGCAATTAGTTGCAGTTTTTTTTTGTTGCCAGGTAAAAAGCTTGCTTCCACTTGGTCAGGTCAATGGCAGACTTTCCGGAAAATCGTATTATTTAAATTCAACGCGCCAAAAAATAAGAAACAATGAATTGCATCAACGTAAACCTGTACAGTCGTGCTCCTTTTTTAATTTCGGAATATCGGTGTGAAGTTTCACGTGTTTTGAGGAGATGCTGCGGTCTAAGGTCCCTGTAAATGTGACAGTGTGGTCTCGCGGCCGGCAGACGGTGGATTCTTCTGCTGTCGCAGCTGCCTGCGCCGTAGATCGCAGGGTAATTATCCGAACAAAACGTTCCCACCCAGAAACCAAAAATGCTAGACCTGTCCGCGGTGTCACGACGCCCACGATGAATGACGCAGAGGCCAGTGTAAATTTGGGCGCCATTACACGATGCGCCAGGAAGATGTGGTCAGAAGTCTAGCAAATTCGCATCAGCCCCTCCCCTCCGCCATCTTGTGGTGAGAGCTAAGATTTTGGTAAACCAATGCACACCTTGCAAACTTGTCCTCGAAATGCTAATTTTTATGCACATGGTGTCCTGGGTCAGCCCCAACGCGAAAAGTGACCAAGAACAACCCTCGCGTGAATATGGAACCAAAGGAAAGCTGTTATGCTATCTGCACGGATTGACTTGACCAAAGGGTTCGCCCATCCAGTAGCTGGCGGAGGGAGTGATTTTGAAAAGA